CAGACTTGGCAACTGTTTCCACCTTTTTCTCTCACTCTCGCCCTATATGCATGCATCTTCTATCTATCCATTTAGCTATCTGTTTCTTCTTCTGCCCTTAAGTCACCATCGGGTGTCTTCCGTCCACTGCTGTCCACTGCCGTCCACTTAGACGCTGGCCGACGCTTTTATCTGATTCCCCTAAACTTTTTCTCTCTTTCTCTCTCTCTCTTGCCTCATCTATCTTCTCCTCTTCCCTCTCTCTAATCGACGCTGTAACTGGTCCAGTGAGCTTGGCATCTTCTCCTGCCCCCCCCCCCAACCCCACCTTCATCCTGAGTCTGTCTGCGTCCTACTTTGGCTGGGCAGCATCAGCAGCTGGCCAGCGCAAGAGATGTCCGCGTCTAGGAGTGAGTCCGTCCATCCGTCCGGCTGTTAACCCCGTGTCAGACTTGCACACTTTGGGGCACAGGGGGCGGGTGGTTGAATGGGAGAGGAGGGGGTTATTCTGGTGCCCCACCTCTTTCCCTCTCCTCCAAACGCGTACATTCGTCCATAAGTCCAGAAGTCCTGCCGGCCAAACCACTTTGGTACAGTATTTCTCCTGATTCTCTCCACCACTACGCCAGCATCAAAATGGCCCTGTTCAGACGAAGAGCGTGCGTGTTTGTGTGTGTTCGTCTAGTCGGTGCGAGTGTGAGGCAGAGAGTGGACACCGAGGCCGTTGCTCCATCCGCTCGGTGGTCCGGCTTTGTCCATCCAGATCTCGCGTCCCTCCTGCATGGATAGCCTGGGCAGGTTCGCGTTAGCCGGAATATCACTTCGCATCACTTCTTCTCCCATACACACAGAAGCAAACATGCACGCAGATACTCGGCCTATCGGCAAGCTCTCGGACCAGGCGTGGTCAACTGACCGAGAGGCGAAGATAGACATCTTGTCGGTCCATTTCTGTCCAGTTAGAGCGGCCAGCATAACCAGTGGCCATAAGGACCGGGAGACAAGCTGCGGCTCAGCTGCAAAGTAGATGTCTTCTAAGGCGCCATATTTGACGCCGCCAGCCACCACCCCCTCGACTCTTGTCGCAAGCATTCAACTTGTGGTCAGTTTTGTTCTTGCGCCTCTTGTCTCCTAGCAGCAGGACCAACAACATCTCTTAATAACAGTCATCTACCGGCCACAACACATTTCCGATTGTCCTGCAAGTTCATACTATCTTCGCTGCCGCTTCTGCCCCTTGATCATTGAATTGTGACAACTACCTTTGCACGCCGAAGCCTCCAAGTTGGAGTTTATGCAAATTTGATCCAAACACAGTTGCTAACAGAGACAGGACCGAGCACAATTACCGCACTTTGGTCGCCCAGTACTCCTTATGTGTGAACAATTGCCACTTTAGAAAGTGATCGTTGTAACCTAAATGTGTGTGTGTGTGTGTTTGGGGGCATACTTCCACACTTATTCTCAACACTGGAGGCTGCATCCTGAGAAAAGTGCCACACTCTGGTGCTCATTATAGGACACTGTCCTATACCGTCCGACCATTCATTACTCAATCCTCGCCTGCTTCTGTGCGAGCAGGCATATCAGAGTGCTCGGGTGTATGTGTAAAGTGTTGCATGTCCCCTGAGGCAGGATCAGAGCTGGCCCCACTCACGGTTAGTGTTGACACCTGCGGCCAAGCAAAGCCAGTTTAGGCTAGGCGAAGCAAAAGAAATTTGTGCACCAGGCAGAACGTGGTTGCCATCGTGGAGACTACTTTTTCAATCATCAACTCCTCTCGAGAGATGGGCAAACAGCATGCTCAGTCAACCATCCCGCCGGCTAGTCAGCTGTACCATTCATCGAGCTGGAGGAGGCATCCTGTCCTACTGTGGAGCTAGAAGGGCCTGATTTCCAACCGCTGGACGACAGGACGATCATTTGGCACGACTTCTCTCCTCGACCTACTGCCCAAGGACAGGATGCCGAGGGAATGCACAGAGAAGCCACTGCGAACCTGTATGTTGGTCGTCGCATCCAAGAAAGATGGTAAGTAGATGAAATAATATAGAGTCTTAATTGTTTATTGAAATGATGTAAAAATCTTGCTATTTTGACTCCTTTTAAACAATAAATAAGGT